ACCGCGCGCACACACATGAGTAGCTGTTGCACCGAAGACACGAGATCCCACTGGGAAATCAGCGTGTACGGTATGTATTTTATCCTGTTACGCTACCGCTGCTCCGGTATAAGTCGAGAGAAAATGCGGCGCTCGTGGCGCGTTGAGGGAGATTCAAAGTGCCGTGGATCACGAGACACCGCAACGGTATACGTTCGATACGATTCGGGTTACGTGCGTTGCGACGTTCGTATGGATCGCACAGAAATATAATATGGAAAACAGAGGCCGACGGTAAAAATAAAGTGTTGTAGAAAAAAAAAATAATTAATCCTTAAAATCATCGCTTGCGGTGTCGATGTATAATGTCACTGGTTTTTTTCCCCTCCGATCGTGCGTTAATTGAAACTGTGTAAAACGTCGATTCCGATCATTGTCGTGCATATCATTATCGTGCGGCCGTCTGCGGCCGCGGCGTCTCCTTGTTATGGTAATCAGTTGTGTGTTTTCGATCGGATCTATTTCGGACGAAAGTAAAGAAAAAACAAAAAATAAACCGATAAATTTGTTTTTTCACCGACGTGATTTTCCGACCGCGGCGACATCGTTTGATACGCGTTGCCACAACCACCCGGTGGGGGTATAAAACAGCGCGTAGATCGGGACGCCCAAAGGGGATTATCCGGACCACACCCTTCATCGTCGAACGGTCATTCGCGGGCGCGTTTCAGGCGCGTGTTCGTTTTCACACCACCTTGATAGGGTTCGCGTGCAATGCCCTCCCCGCGATCGACGAAATAAAAATAAAAAACAAATGCTGCGCGAATATTTTTCCGACAACAAGAAACACTGCGGCCAACCTCCGTATTTGTGCGACGGACGCAAATATTCGGGTGCCGTACACCACATCCTTAGCGCTACGTACAATCTGTATTATGTGTGTGAGCGTGGCAATATCGAATAAAACCAGCAACGTCGTTATTATTGTCGCGCCCTGTTCAATTTCAATTTTCGAAAAACATCACGTTCGTGGTTGGTCTGCCCGTGAAAACATCGAGCGTACGCTGCAAAATAATCCGACGACGCACGCGGTTCGCGCAAAGAACATAATTTTACATCGCCGTGGCGTACATTTTACGATCGTACGGTTATGGCTATTTTACACGTCGAAAAAAAACGTCTTTAAACTCTTCGTTCAATCGTTGTTGGAGAGAAAACGTCACACTGGTTCGTTTTGTACACATCTCATCGTCGACTAATATGCACACACATTCAATCGACGCACACATGTACATGGCCCGGTGCTGTGCTCGGTATTCGATGGTAGCAATAGATAACCAAGAGTCGTTCTTTTGTCGGCATTAACACGCCGGTTGGTAGAAAATTCGTAACCTGAACATATTTCCGGAGTTTATTGACGTTTAACAATGCGACGCTGGAAAAAAAAGGGAAAAAACGTTATCACGGAAAAAATAGAATATACAATTTTGAATAGGAAAAAAAAACGACCAACAAACGAATCCACCGGAAAATAAAAACAACAGAAACGGTCGTAAAACATCATATATACACGGGTCACAATGAAGAATTTCAGGTTAATTGTGCCGGCTACCATATAGTATAATAAAAACAAGAGGCGTATTCTGGTTAATTAAAAAAAATAAAATAAAATAATAATAATAATAATACAGGAAAAAACCGGAATATCGCCCCGTTTCTGCTGGTGTTGATGCGGCTGCCGTGCAGGCTAAGGACTCATTCACACCGAATGTTTATTTATTTTTTTTTCGCGTCTTGTACGAGGCGGATAAATACTGTCGTCGGTGCTCCTGCCTGCGCGCTCGCGCGCGCCCTGCTAGTTGCAGCGGTGAGATAGACATCTCCACGGTGTGCACCGTTTGCGGACAAAATGTTAATGCGCTGAAATTAAAATAAACCGATAATAAAAATAAATCGTCTGTCCGTCTCGCCGTACGAGATCTGCTTTTGCCCCCATTGTATTTAAATGAAGACTTCGCCGGTCGCGTTTTAACGGAATAAAATCGATTTTTTTCCCATCGTCGCGAAAAGAAAAAAAAATTCGTACGATAAATAAATAAACGTACACACCCGTTCGTTACGGTATGTGTTCTTGCGTGTAGACACGACCGACCGAGAAAATATTGTGGCGCCCAACGACGGGCCGCCGCAAACCGTCGACGAAGAACAGGACGGAAAAAAAAAAAACAAAATATCTCCCGGGAGCCGGATTCGGTTTGTTGTTTTCGTCCGTCGCTCCACTAATTGAAAGATGGGCAAAACCACTGCAGCGGCGGCGGCGGCCATACACGTCCAATTATTATTACACGTACGTGCGTCGTTAATTCTTTTGGCGCCTTACGCGCGCGCGTACGATGACGACGATGATAGTAATAATAATAATAATAATAATAATAATGAAATTATGTAAAAAAGGTGTATCACGTCTCGTCCGCGATGTATAACGTATGTAATAATATACAGTCATCGTTTTTACGACACCGCCGCCACCGCCAATTATATATTGTGTATACGCACGACGACGACGACACACGAATACGATAATAATGTTATTATTTATATTTATATAAATACTTATTCGTGTGTGTGTAAACGAGCGTCGAAAACGGACCGCGTGCGACGTGTTTCTCACGGACATCGCAACATAGTAAGAATAATTATAACACGACGAAAACGTGTAAAAAACTCGGCCGTAATACTACTGCGGGGGACGCACAACGTGTTTGCATTTCATGTTTAGCTAGCCGGAGCGACGTATTTGCCGGATGAAATTCGCGTGAAACGCTCTTCGGGCGGGTTACCCGGTTCGTGTTAACTTCTACTGGAGTACATCGCACTCGCACGGTTATATTATCGAATCATGTGCGTTTACAATACTACGGTTTTGTCGCTGGAAAACGTATTCCGGGTTTACTCGTGCGCCGCAGCTACATTAAAATATTAATATGCGTGTATGTATGTGTGTGTGCCGTATACACAACATTTACACGGAATATTATTCAAATTACCGAACCGTACAGTGTTATTTACACGTAGTACACGATACAACGCGATAGTGGTGCGCACTGGCTACTGGCGCTGCACCCGGTCCCGTCTCTTGCGATGTCATCGGTTGATAATACGCGTCTCGTCCGTCCACACACGTTATATTATGATAATAGTTTCTCTGCGTTCTCGACTCCGTGTTATTTTTTTTCTTTTTTTTTTTAATATTTTTATTTTATTTTTTTTTCCGTCTCTCCGGTTTTATTACAAGTATTTTAGGGAAACGATCCAAAAAAAAAAAAAAAAAAAACGAGCGGCGTCGTACGGTAAGGGCGAGGCGGTGGACGTCCCGTCGTCATCGCCGTGTAGTGCACCGCTCGCGTTCGGAACCGGACCCGCGCGCGGGTTAATAACAATAAAAAGAAACGAGGCCTTGTACACACTGTATATAACGCATGACGACGACGGAGATGATAAAGGCCACCCGAACGATATTTATGCGGCCAATAAATAACGCTAGTGTTAATGGACAGAACGCTATCTCTTATTGTTTTTTTTATTTTTTTTATATTTTTTAGTACTCGTACTCAACGACTGCGCAGCTACCTCAGCAGTAGGTGTCATTAGTCGTGTGATAACAACCGAACGGCGGCGGTCGTTGTTTTTTTAGTATTCGTCTTAGGTGCGGCCCCTTAATGTTCACACGCATATATTTACTCGGTCGTCGTCGTCGTTTTTTTTTCGTATACACGTTATTTTATTTTATTTTTATAATTGGGATCGGTCCTTTTGTTTTTTTTTATTCTTCCTCGGTATCTTTCGTGTGCCGCACTCGTTCAAAGACTTTTTCCTCCTGCTCACGGGAACACGTCATAATATTAATAATAACGCAATATCTATTCCGCCGCCGTCGTCGCGAAATCTATTCACGTGTTTATCATTTTGTCGTTATTGTTTTGGTATTCCGTCCGCGCGTTTTCGTATATAATTTACGTTGTATCTGTGTACACGCGTATACGTACACACGAGCGAGGACGAAGTCGTGTCCACAAGTCTGGACGAGCCGAAAACGAATGCAAAGACAACAACAGCAGTGCTGGTCGCGCGCTCGCGCGAGTTTTCTGTATTATTGTGTCGGGCGTACGACGACGACAGCACACTAATCAGACGTCGTCTACCGCGCGCCACCGTGCTCGTCGTACGGTCCGGTGCGTGTTTTATGTGTACAATACGATTTTTTTTTGTACGTATAATATTAGTGTATGTTACGCGGTGACGGAGGCCGTGTAATATATTACATTGTGTTCGTCGTACGGGGACGACGAAACGATGAGAAACCGACGGCGGCCGTGGAGGATTACGTGCTTTGGGTGTGAAAGTACGCGCCGACTGCTGCAGTTGTATAAAAAACGCGTCGGCCGCGAGACGCCGTTTTTTTCGGCCGTCGTGTTCGAAAACCTGCTATCATCATGACGACGGACGGGTGTAATAATAATAATAATAATAATAATTAAAAAAAAAAAAAAATGTTATCATTATTTGTAGGGCTTGCCGTTTGAATGATAAATACGTTAACCACTGCGGTTCGATCGCGTACTGGACTGCGAACGGATATCTCTCCGCGTAGATCGAATGTTATGCGCGCGACGATCGAAAGGCTCGCGGGAACGAGTACAATATTGTTACGATAGCATTGCTAATATGTATTATAAGTGTATATGATTATCGGCTCGTGTAACGTAGATTGATGTTGCCCGCGCCGGCTCAGCGTCACACGTGCTGGGGTTCAAATCGCGTTTTCCATAATAACGTTGGCTTCAACCTGTTTGCGATAACTCACCGATATAATCGTGTAACATAACAGTACGATGGGCCTAGATCGTCCCCGATCACAAAAAAAAAAACAGCCCGTATCATATAACCTCTCAAAACCTATATTGAATAATATACCAAAATAAATATACATATTGCTTGAATCCGTTATTGTTTATTATTAGGGTTTAAATCAGTTTTCGCTACAGACCGTAAACAGACCCATCAACCGTTTCCACAGATTTCCAGAGGTACGTAAAATATTACACTACATTGGTATAGCAATAAACGATAATAACAATAATAATAATATTTCTCTCGCGTAAATATTTCTATATACCTACGTATATAGTTAAATATAAAACGCATAACGAATTTATTATGTTTCTATCTTGTTCGCTTAACCTCTCTCACTTTCTCTCTCTCTTACTCTACTTGTTTATACATCATTCTAACTCTATCTGGCGATACTGCAGTTAGCGTATATACTATGTATACGCACACGCATTATATTTTTGTTTTAACGAGATAAATGCCTCTGGGGGCCACTGTTGGGGTTAGCGGTCGGCGAAGCGGATAGTAGCGGTGTGTACTCGAGGAGTGATTAAACGAGCGCCGCCGTAGCCGTGAGAGATTCGTGAGAACGTGCCGGGCGTGGTGGCGGCGGCGGAGGTCTTGTTGAATGAAAAACACGACTTGGCCGGTGGTGGCGCCAAATGATGTCCGTCCGCGTGCGTCCAATTTGAATATAATAACGCGACGGGCCAAGAGGATGACCGAGACGATTGTCGTCGGCCATATCAATTATTATCGTGTGTGTACCGTTCGAGACCGATCGCCGAGTCTTGTCGTTTGCGTACAGGTATACGAGTATATATATAGGCACGATCGGTTGTCGGTTTTTTCGCCACGTCGTCGCGGTCTCGTCTCGTCGCGTACAGGTTGAGTTTCGCACGACCGTCTTCGGAATAACATTATCTCTCTCTCTCTCTCTTTCTCTCCTTTTCTGTCTCTCGGAAATAATGCGACCAGACACGGGGTTAGGTTTTCTTTTGTTCAGGTCTCTCTGTTTGATACGTAACATTGTTATACCCCTACGTTGATATTGTTTTTAATCGCGTTGTTGCGGTATCTGTGTTATACACCTATACCGAATACACGGTACACTATACTTTGCGAGTTTCGCGAGTGCGTAGGTCCAACTCGAAAACAACTTCCGGTGCTGTGCACGCGTTTCGCCGAAGGCGACTCTTGAGCGTAAACCGAATCGAAACCAACGACCGGACCCAGCGATTTATTTCGGTGTTAACGTACGATCGGTGTACGTGTTCCACGGGAGAGGTTTTTTATTTTTTTCATTCGCCAGGAGACCGCCCGCACGTTTGCCGAGTGAATTGAACGAACGGAAATCGAAGAGTTAACTCTGTTGGCGATATCTTCATATATATATATGCGTATGTATACACACACGTACGTGTAGTTATTGTTTTATTTGCGATCGCCGCTGCGAAAGCTCTTGTCTAGAAACGTGCGGTGGGAAGAGTTAACGGATATCATGTGTCTCCGGTCAAACGGAACGCACAAGGATAATTGGACACGACCGGCGTCTAGTCCTCTTGCACACACGCGCACGCATAGCCGCGTGCGCGCGCGCTGCGGTCAGGAGTCGAGACGCGGCGCAGAGGAGAGAATGGACCATCGCACGACCAGTTTCCCTTTTCCTCCTCCTGCGCGCGCGTATATGTCGTTCGATTTGTTCAATACCACCGTACAGAGAGCAGTCCTTTTCCGAGTTTCGCAGCAGTCCTCCCCTCGTCCTTATATACGTACACAGCGCGTGCGCACGTATATATCGTTTATATGATATACGTACATATAAATCTATACAGAAGTTCTACGTCAGGTCTCTTAACGTCTTCGGTCCAGTCTCCGCCAGCATGACCCGTATGTATACACTCGCACGCTCACACAAACTGCCGGCGTCTTTTGTGGCGCCGCCGTCGTCAATGTTCGACAGTAGTACATGTATATACATATCATTATAATGAAATGGCGCGAAAAACGACACACGTGTGAACCCTGAAATAAAAAATTTCGTCCGTTTTTTTACTGTAAATTCGGCACACTTAAATCTTCCGTCGTGTATTCGGTGCTGCCGGTACGAATATTTAATCTCTCGTCGTGAATGGAAAATATTTATCCGATGAAAACCGACGCAACAATTCGATATTATATTTGTGCGTTGGTTTAATAATTTTGTAAGCGGACGTTCGTATCTCGTCGTCCCGATTGTCCGGTCGACCTAACGAATTCGGTTGTTCGTATGAAAACACCCCTAATTAAGTTTATCTAAACGATCGAACCTTTGTTCATATTATATGTATTTAATAAGTACGAACTGTTAATTATTATTATTATATTCGTTTAACATTTAATACGTAAACGGGAATGTTTAAAAACCCTGTAATTAATCCGTTTTCGGTTGTATAATTTAATTGTTTCGTATTCGACTGTCATGCTATAAATAAATTATTACCTATACGCTGTAATAAAAAAAAAAGAAGCATTATACGGGACCATAACGCCAAATTTTAATTATTAAAGAATTGTTTCCTATAAATTAATTACAGTTGAAAAAAAAAGGATATATTTGTTCTATACGTAAGCGAGGGAGTTTATAAAACTCAGCCGAATCGTTGTGTTTTTATGGTACTTAATAAATTACGATATGGATAAAAACACGCACGCGCGCGCGCGCGGACACACACACACACACACACAAATATACACACGTGCGTATCCGAATTACTTATTTTTCGTATCAGCGTGCGTACAATGATATATACGTATACCGTACGGTGTACGTATTGTATATTTAGTGAAACCGAACTGTGTGCGACCTAAATATATTATGCGATGTGCGTATTGTTGTACTCCGGGGTGGACAAAAAATGTTGCCGGATGTGACATTCCGCGTTCCGTTAACGTGTGTGTCAGTGTTCGTCCGCATTTGTTACGGAGGTTTTTAATAATTCAAACGGCCTTTTATCGCCGGCCAATCGGCACCTGTGCCCGGCACATCAGGTGCCTCACATATATCAAACGGCCCCTTTTGTACTCGCGTGACTTGTTACGAAAACAATAAATTATCACTGTACAGCGTTTTCTTTATTTCCTTTTCCGCAGACCATACTGAACTCGATGCACAAGTACCAGCCCCGTTTCCATCTAGTCAGAGCCAACGACATCATAAAGTTGCCGTACTCAACTTTCCGCACGTACGTGTTCAAAGAAACCGAGTTCATCGCCGTTACCGCGTACCAAAACGAAAAGGTAAAGAAAAAACCATATCGATAATAGGCGATTATCAGTTTCGTACCCCGCGTGGTGCGTGTCGATAAAATAATATAAACCTTTCGATTTTATTCTTTTTTGGCAGATTACTCAGTTGAAAATCGACAACAATCCGTTCGCCAAAGGGTTCCGAGACACCGGCGCCGGAAAACGAGAAAAAAAGTGAGTAGAACATCGCATTGAATATTAGAATAATATCGTAGTATAATCTGTATAATATGCACGTGATGATCGTCTCGTTTCTCGCGATACATGTGTTGTAACGATTTCAATACATTCATATATTCCAAACATCTATTTTTTGATTAAAAATTACTATAAAAAAAAAATAATAATAATAATATTAAAAATATAATGCACCGTAGTCTGAAAATCAAAACAGCGATTCACTTTTTTCTGTCCGTAACCGTCGAAATCGTTGTAATTGATATGCGACGAGTGCGTACTCACTATCGTGCGCGCGGGTGTAGGTATGTAACACAAAAACAAATCGTGAAAACGATGCGGTCGGCCGATAAAAACACGAAACATCACGTGTACAGAGCGATATGATTTACGTTGTTATTATTTCATTTTTTTTTTTTTTTTACGCCAGTCGGAAGTACTTATTGCCTGTACACACACGTGTATATTTTCATATTTATACTGTCTAAAATGTACGATTTCGTCCGTATCACGTAGGTGTACTCACAGTAATTATATGCGCCGCCGCCGCCGCTGCCGAATTGCAGTGATTTCAAAGTGTACCGCGCGTGAGATGATTTATCTCTGTACACACCACTCATGTACATCACGAATTATATCGTGTACAATAATATCAATAGATTTGAATGCGGTCATCGCGTGATCGTTATTGCCCGCCTACCCGTTTGCGTATAATATAAAATCGTATTGTTATGTTATAATAACATCAGCAGTTATTTTTTATACGTAGGTAAATGCGTTGGTAATCCCGCACGGCATATAGAAAAATTTAAAAATCAAACAAAAAACGAAAGCGACAAAAGTGCCGTACACACACGCGCATTGCAGCGCGCAATGCACAGTAATAATACAATAATAATATGATAATTACAATAATAATCTATAATAGTATATACGAAGCAACGGTATCGCGTTTTTTTCTTACACTGTTCGTATTAGTCGTTTATTGATTTTTTCCCGACGATTGTCACTGCCGAGCGACCCTTTTTTCATCTCTTCGTGGTGTGCAGTTAGTTCGGTACTAGTTGGTCGGTCTTTTTTTTTTTTTTTCAATTCAGTGTAATGATATGCGAAACGTCGTCATCGCGGGATAAAGGTCAAAGTGAGACGGTTTCGGGTGCGCCGCACGAATTCGAAATAATGCAGGCGGTGCGTTTAGTTTTTATATTAGCCTTTAATCGTGATGAGCGGCGAACAGAGGGTGGGTACGAATTGGCCGTACGAACATGGTCGTGCGGGCAGCAGAGGAAAGGATATATATATGTACACGTATACGCATATAAAAAGAGAAAGGATAGAGTCCACTAATGACACCGCAAAGGTCGCGCGCGCTCGGGCATCGCGTAGCAGTCGTTGAAATGCCTTTTAATTTAAAAAGTCGACGCCCACCAGATATATCTAATAATAATAGGCGACGGCAGCGGACCGTCTGTTCGCGGCCCATTTAATTCCGGGCAAAAGGCTCTGTACACCTCCCGCGTACATTTATACCAAACCCCCGGTGCGGCGGGTAAAAAACCGCATAACTCGAAACATTTTAAATGCTCCCCGAGGATCGCTGCGCATTCGGCGGCGTATAATTTCGCCACGACCCTCCCCGTAGTCAGGAGCTTTTTAATTGTATACTCCGGCACCACCGGCGTGACCCGCGCTCACGTGGCCCGCGACGGGTTGATTTACACCGAAGACCGCGAAACACGGTACAATAGAAATAAAAATAAAAATGATTCGGTGGACCCTTCACGGAGAATGTATACGTTTTATTTTATCTTCTTCGACCTCCTGATGGTTTTCACAGCATATTGTCATCACTCGTTTCTCAACGACATGTTATAAAAAGTGAAAAAAATGCCGTTCGCATTTTCTCGGTCTTTGTACTATTTTTTCTTTATCCGTGTAATTTATCGTGGTATTCGTCAACCGACAATCGGTCGTCCGATCGTATAGGCGCGCTCGCACAAGGCGAGCTTCGTCGGTTTTCAGGTCAACGGGTCATGCCTGTGTGCACACCGCAACATGTATAAATCTATTATCCACAATGAGCATCGTTGTTCGAGTCACACGTCACCGGTGCGCCGCGTGAAAAGTCGAACGTTCGGAAATGGCTTCGCCCCCCGCACGCAGTGCGTGTACTCACACGATATGCACGCGGTGTCCATGAATAATTGATAACGGTGCGCGAGTCGGTACGTAGCGCAATGACCGAGGGGTAGGACGATCAGGGGTCTTAACCACATACCAAGAGTTCGGACTCGTACACAGCCGTTATTTCAGCGCGTAGTACACCCGAACGGTGTTGGCCATTTTATCGCCATCCGAAGAAGCGGCAGACACGCGAAAAGGATAAAATAACTTTACCCAATCCTTGGCGACCGTCGGTGAGAGTCGCGCGCACGCCTCACGGTCGAGCATTTCGTGATCGCCACGGACGCGTTGTCGTTTACACCTTACGAGCATCGGTCTCGGCGTGCCCGGGTCACGTAAAACGTCTGTGGACGTCAACGCGTATCGTCTAATTTGCTCGACGTCCCGAAAGACATGCGCCGCACGCGCGCGTGCTCCGCCGCACCGTACCGTACATTTATACGTGTAATTATTGACCATCGCGTTGTTGTACGACTTTGCTCTCGCACACCTTCCCCCCGGTGCATATTATCATTTTGTTATTATAAGATTCCTATACGTTTGCACGGGTACTCATGTTGTACTCATATTGTGTGTTGTAAACGACGGCGGTACTAACGGTGTGTGCGTGTGTCGGAGTGTGAAACGAGTGGTTGTTGTACGCACGCAGAGGTTAGAAAAAGTAGTATTCGTGTGTATACGTGAGCGTGTGTGTGTGTGTATAGTTGTAGTAGTGTATATTTGTTCGACAGCGGCTGACGCGGTCAACGGAAATATTATAATAATAAATTACCGCCGCCGGGGCTTGCGAACGGTCTTTAGTCGGTTTGTTTGTTTTCGCGTCCGAGCAGCTATCGACCATTGATAAAAATAATGCCGGACGATAAAAAATTTAAAAAAATTCGATTTTCGCTTGTGATTTCCACGCCGCCGTCATGTTTGTTGCACATATCCCGAGCCCGGCGCTTCACACTCGACGTTACAATAATTAGTATCTATCGTGTTGGATACATGTTATTTCCGCTGAAACGGGTTTGAACACGGGCACGCGGTGGGCACCATTCAAGACACACCGTGTGTGTGTGTGCGCGCGCGCGTGTGTGTGTATGATAATTTATAATCGTATTTGCGTTGGTTTAATCGTATTATCGTTTATACACGCGTGGACGATCGATCGTGACGACCACCGCCGCCGTTGTCGTTGTGGTCGTCGTTGTCGATGGCAACATTTGCGAGCAATTACGTACACGATGCTCGTGTTCGTGAAATGTCTACTTCCGTGACCCGATTCCGTTGGGCAACCAATAACGATAGGTAAATTTCGATATTTCGGTGCGGCGGTAAAACTACCGTTAACGAGATATTACTATTTTAAGTATAATATTTTAATTGTTTGACACCTGAAGCCAACACGGCGGCCTTGGCAACTGTATTTTTTTAATAATTTTTTTCCGTGATAGCGTGACAAAAAGCACACGTACCTACCGGTATGATACTCGGAGCGCGATCCCGCATTATTATAATTGTGTAGATCATGTTATTATCATGCGGACGTGCAGAAAAACAAAAACGAAATTAATGTACAACCAAATCACACAAAACCAGATATTATTGCTTTCACGTCGAGTTTTACATTACGCCGCGCGCGTGTATTGGCACACGCTGCTGCGGCGGCGGCGGACGAGGCGAATGATAATAATTATTGTCCTTCGTGACGCGTCTATTGTTATAATTATTTTTTATTATCCTCTGGGCCGCGTACCGGTTTTGTGCATGTACAAATTCAACGGGGCACTGCTGTACGATGTATATTATTATTATTATTATTATTTTTGTTATGGTTTCCACATATTTTTTCTTCGCTCACGCGAATTTTATCACTATTATTATTTCTAGATTTTTATTTCCGTTTTATCGTTTCGGAATTCGCGTCTCAAGTCGTTTGTTACGCACAGACGTGCCGTTCCCGTACGTATTACGTTGTTGTAATATTCTGTGCTATTTCGCGCGAGGCGGAGGTCCTTATATAATTCCTTATACGGGACACTGATTATCACCAGAAAAACGACCGTAATAAAATATACCAATTCGAATCCATTAGCGGCCGCGCGCGATTTATCTCCGGAGATTAAAAAACGGTTAGAAACAACCGTCGTCGTCGTCTATTGGATTTTCATTTCATACGTTTTCTTGGTATAACTGTACGGAGAATGGGGTGGGGGGAAGACGACTAAGTATATGAATAATTATGCACGAGAACGTTTGACGGAGATAATGCAATTTGTCGTTTCGGCGTGACCGACCGGTGATGGTGGTGGCGAGACGATGCGTAATAAATGTGCATTGATCCGTCGTAAAACGAGTTTATAAGTGTGCAATATAATAATATACTCGGTAGTATAACGTTTTTATTTTCGCGAATAACTTAGTTTTAGATTTTACTTGCGCCGACCCCACATGTAATAATGGAAAAAATGTTAAAACTTCGCAAATATCGCGTCTCATCAATAATAGTGTACACTAATTGTACGATCCGTAAACGAATATCGATCACGATTGTTTGAAAGCAATAAAAAAAAAAAAAATTATTCGTGCTACCGGCATGCATTGATTTTGCACATATGTATTGCGAAAACGATAATGTTTCCCAATTTTTATAAGGATTATTTCTAGTATTTTTTGTTTTTCTGTCAATCTACAGATGTGTACAACGTAATGGTGTTTTCAGGCAAGCAATGTTGACGGCGCAACGTCACGGCGGCGGTCAAACGGTCCAGAACCAGGACGATAAGCCTTCGGGTTCCGATCACGAGGATGATAAGCCCTTGGACGTGGTCGGCGGTGGAGACCCCGACTCGCCAATATCCGCTCACCACCACCATCAACCGCACCAACCTGGTAAGTTCAGGACCAAATCCTACGCGCGGCCTAAAATAATTTATTGATTTTGACATTTTTACTAAAAGACTAATTGTTTTTTCCCGCAGGTTCGTGGTTTTCGGGATTGGCCGATGGTAGCTTGCTCCTGGAAGACGCAATGCGGAGACGACTAGCCGGTCATCCAGTACTTCACCACGCGGCGTTCCTCCAACACCACCACCAGCAAGCGCACCAGCAGGAAATCGATAGTGAACAAGATAGCAGTTGTTCCGAGTCAGGTCGAGACAGGATGAACTCACCGTCTGATAAAGAGTCTGCAGGACCTTCCGGTAAGTTTTTTTCTTCTTTTTTATTTTTTTTTATTTGCTCGTGGCCTCTGTTTGCACCGAAAGATTTTTTCTGGGAAACCAAACCGATAAATTAAAAAAAAATACTGAACGCAATTGAAAAAAATACAATCTCATCCTACACAGAAAATGCCCATGTTTTTTCAGAAGGCAATCATGCATATTTAAGTCGAAATATTAAAATCTTAAATAATAATTTTTACTCATATAATATAAATACTATCTTGGTAAAAAAAGTCAATTTGCATACTTACTATATTTTGTTAAATTGATTGTTTCAATTTAACAAATATGTACATAATTTATACATAAACATACATTTCCGTGCAGCGTCTTATATATAATTGTCTATATGTCAGTGTTCCTTGTAGACGACACTTATTATCGGTCCGACCATATATTTTCGAAATCTACATTTTCGGACGGAACTCCGGATTTCGACTGAGCTAAGCACTTAGTCCGCTATTTAACTTTATATTAACTCGATCTATATGACACTATTATGATATTAAGTACATATAAGTCGTCTTGCTACGTATTTTGTCCGAAACTTACATGGTTGTGGCAATCTTATAGCCGTGCGTATATCGGTTACAGACTAACTTGGAGTAGCGTATTGCTGCCAAATCATCTTGATCAATACGTAAAACAGTAAATTTAACCCTAAAGTTTGGTATTTCGACAATACAACTGCTATGATTCATGGTAGAGTCATGGGTTATTATTGATTGTTTAACCGACGACATTGGTAATGAAGTTGTTTACTGTTAATTTATTTATACACATAGTCAGGGTTACATTCAGATTTTTTTTATATGCAGGGAGGAGGTGTTTCCTATAAACAAAATTTCACAGGTTATACAATTAAGAACAAAAATTAGAATTTAAGTAGTTTTAATTTTTAACGCATAATCATAACTCTTTTTTTACAAAATTAATGAAATTAAATAAAATTAAATACCTACACAATAATATAAAATTAACGTAATAACAATGAAACAATTTAAGTGTAGGTAATCGTTACGATCGAAAGTTAATGAACAGGTACATTGCGTAACACGAACAATTTAAAATTAATAATTCACACAACAACGATAATACGAGCTCCTACAATTCACATTTTATGGTGTAAAACGAAATTTTTTTTCTAAAATTCGAACACCGAGTGGCTTAGTAAACACTAAGAGCTTTGACGGATTCCGCGGTAAACTCGGCCGAAATTCAATCGCGTCAACTGCACGTACGTTCTCAACGATTGAAAGACATTTCACGCAGCACACGCAATGTTGTCCGTGCCAAGACGTTGTATCTGATATTCTGTTGTTGTATGCCCGTGTTTAGGACCCGGACACAGCCCCAGCGATTACCCGTCGCCAAACGTATCGTTCGGACCGCCGATCCCGCCGTCGCCGCACTTGTTACCGTACCTGTACCCCGGTATGTACCCGGGCGGCTCGGGACTGGGCGGGCCGCTGTGCCCGTCCGCGCTCAGCCCCACCACCAACCTACTGTTCAACGCTCAGCTGGCGCTGGCCGCTCACCACCCGGGCTCGCTGTTCACGCAGGCGTACCTGCAGGGCGCCGCGGCCGGCGGCAGCATCGGCGGCGCCGGCGTCCCGGGCGGCCACCAGTTCAAGATGACAACCGGCGGCCTGGCCGCGGCCGCCGCGGCCGGCCTGGGCCGGTTTCACCCGTACCATCTGGGGCTGCACCATCCGCACCATCCGTCGTCCGTCGGTTCGGCGTTCGAGACGGTCACGCCGGGCCGGTGCTCGTCGGCCGGCAGCACGCCGCCACCTGCGCCCCTTGACCTTCAGTCGCCCACCAACGGCAGCCGGCAACAGACGTCGCCTCCGACGCAGCAACCGGCCCTGTCCGGCCAACCGCAGCAGCAGCAGCAGCAGCCTCCGCCGCGACAGTCGTCTCTGTCGCCGTCCCAACGGCACCATCGGGTGGCTGCAGCCAGCAGCGAGCTCAAGTCCATCGAGAAAATGGTCAACGGGCTGGACTCGGTTTCGACCACCGCGGCGGTCGCGGCCGCAGCCGATGAACAAGTAACTGCGGCGGGCAAATAGAGACCCTCGTGCGCCTCTACAGCGTCCCGTGGCCCTATCGACCACTCTACACCCATCCGCCCACGCATACGTATACACGCACGTGCGTCCAATACGGTATGTTGTCGTAGATGGTAATTTACATATATACAGACATATTATATAAATATAAATCAATATGTTATATAAATATATATATATATATAGATAAATAAGGCATTTTTAGTATTAATAGATAATTTATTATGTACACATATAAATATTAATATATATATATATATATATATATATATATATATATTATTGACTAGGAAATATATAAAATAATTAATTTAGTTATGTGTAGCGAAACTATAATACGAGGATGTGCAATAGTATAATAATAATAATATTATAAATATTTAATTACGTAAACGAGTTAATAGTGTTTTTTTTTTTTTATTTATTTATTTATTTTTCGATTAGGTTTAGAGCAAATATTTTTGATTGTATTCGACCCACTCCCCCAGACAACAATAGATAATAATATGTTTAAATATATATATATATATTGTACCCCAGCATTACAAGACGAAAAATGTTCCTAAGTTAAATATTTGAAAAAAAATATTGTATCGTCGCAAAGAGTAAATATAATAATAAACTAACGTTTAATTATTACATTAATATCGGTACGAACTTTGTACAGTTCGTCAACAACAAAACGTATTTAAATCCGAAAAACTGTTCCTAAGCGGTTTATTTTTTCAAAACTGGTGCTAATATCGGACTTTTTATGAAAAAAAATCTGCTCACGTTTTGAAAAAAACATTTTTTTTTTTTTTTTTTAACAAATCGACATGTACATATCCTTTTTTTGTTAATAACTATACATACATTACTATTGACGTATTATTGTAATTTTTTGAACCAGAAGATTGGCGACAACGGTTCTTTAAAATCGATGTTTTTATATATATATATATATTATTGTAATATAATTTTATTTGTTGTGTGCTACTTAACATTCGTCTTGTGTAAAAAAAATATAAGTTAAATTAAACGAAAACTACAGAAACATTATACGAGTGGTTTTGTTTGATTTCGAAGTGTTTACTCATCCCGTCAATATGTCGAACCGACTGATTGATCTCGAAAACGAATATTTTTTACCTTGCGCTTCCCTAGGAAGGTACTCCTCATCCTTTTGAGAACCAATGGTACATACAGTTAAAATAGACATTCTCTAAGTCCCTATAACTTATGCGCATTTACATTACACGATTTATTGATATTGATAACGAAATAATAAAAAAAAAACAAAAAAATACTTATTAGTTACTGAATAAAAGTAAAAAAAAAAGTAAAGACTAAAAAAAAAAAAACTCCACAATAATTCGTTACGATTCCAATTCAAGACTGGACATAGGACTACGCATGTCACATTGTGTAGTCGTATACGAAATACTAGTTGCAACGTTGGGCAGACATTTATCACTCGGCATCTGGATTACCGCTACACGATGTGCGAATTTACCTTACTCGCCCTAACGGGATGGGCTTTCAACATCCGCCGCTTATCCCTACGGATCCCACAACGGGATCGTTCGAGGACCGAAAACACGTTGGTGTATGATAAGATCGAGTGTGTGCCACTGCAATAGTATTTTTTAAATCCATTTGAATTTTACTGGTTTTCAGTCGTTTAGCCTTGTTTGGAAAAATTTCAACGTAGATGACGACTAAACTTTAATGGAAATTTATAGTTAAATGTATAATTTTTATGTAAATATTGTATTTTTTTTCGTAATTATAAAACAAGGAAATTTATTTTTTACCCTATTTTTTTCTATACGAATGGTGTATTTTAACAAAGCACTAGAAAATTTGACGTCCTTGATAGCTGCCTATTCTGGTCGTTGGGAAATCCGCTTTGGTCATTGGCTATCGGTAGTTGCGCACACGGTCGACAAATAGTAATGATTAAACGAGCAGTTTTCTGTCGCTTAGTACGATTCGTATGGTCAACGCGGGACTAACAGTTTTTTTACAATGTTCGGATTTACGTACGTGGTACGCTTGCGGTTTTACTTTTGATCCTTCCCCCCACTACCACCCCCATATTGATATGATCTTGCGCGGTCGTCATTGTGTTATTATCGGTAAGTGTTGTTGTGCGAGACGAGGCAGCGAGGACGAGGACGGGTGAAGCGGAGACGGCGAAGGTATCGTGTATTCTCCGCGTGGTTATTTTTTTTATTTATTTTTTTGCGTTTCATTCTTGCGCCTATGACGGTCGTCTGTGGCGACCGTCGACCAATGATCGTTGTCCGCGCGGCCAGCTCGCGTTTCACACGTTAAGTAGACCACGCAGAGCGGATAAATAATGTGTACCCGAAAAACGAGAAGTCCTGACCGACTGATTCTCACGACCAACGCACAGCCTAAAACAATGAGACGGCTAGCGAATTGAAATGTTCAGGGCGTGTCGCACTATGCGGTCCAAGCGTGTGCAATACGAAAGGATTTTGAATAATTCTGATTCAAAGGGGTTGAAACGGGCCATAACCGAAAATTAAATAACAGCATTTTTCATTTTTTACATTTTCTTCTCTCTAGCTGCCGTTTTGCGGTTCTATGCCGTGTAACATGTGGCTCTATGTTGATGACGTGCACACATCTATGTCAGTCTATCATTTTTTTTTTTATTCTTTTATTGAATATTTTGATTTTCATTGTTTGATTGAAATTGAATTCTTACATTTGTAAAATTATATATTTATGTATGAAAATTATAAGAACAAACAATAAGACCGGTTCAAAAAAATTTTACTCTCGATTGTGCAAGTTAAGAAATAATATGAATTAATTAACAGTGGTAATTTTTACATATATTTCAAAATTCTTCTACAGTCTCATCGACCATCGGTGAAAAAATAAGCGCCACGATGTACAAATAGGGTAAGAAAATGTAAAACTGATTTATTTCGGTAATTAGATTTATAGTAGCGTTAAAAATATTTTGAAATGTGGATTGAAGAGATTATTGTAAATCACCCGCTGATACCTTAAACTCTTATACTAATACTATAAACATTACAAACTATAAACTGTTCCTACCATCGGATATGGTATTAAATAATAATAATAATTTCGTGTAAACTATTTAATGACTAAGAAAAGGAATACAAAACACAATTGTTTCGCGTGCGGCTGTTTATTGGAACGACTTGGCTCATTGCCTTACAATTCGATTGACGACAACCGTCTAATCTTCAACAGATTATGACCGTGAAATGCTAATTCATTCAGCCTACGCTGGTATCTGTAAATTAGTTGCAGTAAGTAGGAATTATCCATTTTCAATGGAAGTTTTTGCTATTAAAATCTTTATGCAAAATTCGATACAGAAACAATACCCATAAAAAGACTGGGATTCCAGTACATTCGAATATTAATAGTGTACATATTTATATATTGTGTTATTATAATATTTATATATTTAGTTATAATTATTTTTAATTTAGTGTTGTTACGCTTCAATAAACTAAAGTTGAGACCTGTGAAAGGGCGCGAAGAAAAAAATCGAGTATAGTAAAAGATCTTTATTTTTTTATTTTTCAAGAGTTTTGAGTGATTTACACTTGAAAAGACATCGATTCTATAGCGTGCTCACCCTAAAGGAGTTGAAAAAATTACAATTATTCTTCCGGGCAACGCCGGATAATTCTGCTAGTGCTGTAGTTGCCGCTTATTAGACTCGCTTTGGGATCAGGTCATTTGAGTCGATTAACCGAATGAGTCAATAAGTTTCTCAAAAAAAAAAAAAATAATAATAATAATAATCATAATAACAATGATAAACAGAGTTGATTGAGTTTTCCCGACTTCGGTAATTATTTCAACCATATCCCAGAAGGCTTTTTACTACTCTTAAACTCGTTAGAATCGTCTCTGCTGAATCTTTCTTCGCAGAAACTGAAGTGCTGCTAGAATTTATTTTTTCGGTCTCTAATCCGGGCTGTCTTTTTCGCCATCAGTAGCAACATTATCTTCTCGTCGACTAAATTTCATCACAGATCTCTTCTTCGGTCAAGACTTCAATAGTTTGAACCTCTAAATCAATATTCACGAATTCGTAGTACAGTTTGGTTGATCCGTCAACGGGTCTTCCAACAGAGGCGTCAACGTCTTCATATTTATATGGAATCGCGAAGCGATAATTTAGTTATTACACATCTCTACCGTGTCAATAAAATAACCGGTACCATTGAGCTCGCGTGAAATCGCACATTTGTTATATTTTTGTTTGTTGTTTATCGTACTGTTAAATGATCCCATCGACCGGTGTAGCAGTGAATAAAATAAACGGGTATTTTTCCGAATGTTGGACGCGTGCACGTGGAAATCGGGACCCGGTGTCTGTCGGAGTCCGATAGATGAATGAGTCAACTGTGAGTTCGTTAAACGCCGACCACTGTATACAATTTATAACGCAACACGCGTGAGTATCGCGCACATGTTACGTGGGGCGTCAGGCAGGATTGCCGCGACGTACCCGATCGGTTGGTGGAAACGCAACCAATGCATTACTGTCGGTTTAGAGAAACGGGTGTGCGAAACGTGTGAATGTTTTTCACGTGATGATTTTACCGCACTCATAGTTTAATATGCGATCGGAGAAAAAAATAAAATAAATCTCATTAGAAACGCCGTCACAGAGAAACGGGATTGCGGAAACTCAGATGATCATAGCTCTGATTGTTATTTATAGTAGTGGTCTTCGCCAACAGCGTTCAAATACGGTTTCATCAAACGGTCTACAAATGAATCCGCATTGAAGAAGGTTGTGGCTGTAAGAGCACTTCGTTCGTCGTCGAACAATCGTCATACATATTTATCATTTCACCGGACGATCGGAGCGGGAATATGCACCGTCAAATTACGAGTGCGCGGAACAAATGCAATTGCAAAAAAAAAAAATTCAAAGTATGCAAAACGAAAGGTATTTTTACGGTAAAATTTTGTGAACGACTCAAACATTTCAAACGGTCACGTTTTTCATCAGATTGACGAACACCATTTTCCAAACAATCGAAGTCCGTTCGTCGATTACAACAGTTTTTTAAACGGCGTTTGTTTTCACGAAAACACGAATGCTATTCGCATCAATGCCATTTCAACTTGAAATCCAACCGTAACGCTCTGCTGTGACCGTATTCCGATCGGGCGG